ACAAGAGAGATCAGAGGGAGACCTTACAGAGAAACTAGAGAGAAACCAGAGAGAGACTCGAGAGAGATCAGAGAGAGACCTTACAGAGAAACTAGAGAGAAACCAGAGAGAGACACAAGAGAGATCAGAGGGAGACCTTACAGAGAAACTAGAGAGAAACCAGAGAGAGACTCCAGAGAGATCAGAGAGAGACCTTACAGAGAAACTAGAGAGAAACCAGAGAGAGACACAAGAGAGATCAGAGGGAGACCTTACAGAGAAACTAGAGAGAAACCAGAGAGAGACTCCAGAGAGATCAGAGAGAGACCTTACAGAGAAACTAGAGAGAAACCAGAGAGAGACACAAGAGAGATCAGAGGGAGACCTTACAGAGAAACTAGAGAGAAACCAGAGAGAGACTCCAGAGAGATCAGAGACATTTATCAACATACACCAACTTGCCCTATGGACCACCAACTTGCCCTATGGACCGGTACCTATGTATGTGTTTTATATGTTTTGTGTTTGAACTGATTGATTCTTTTATCTGTGTTGGTGATTTCAATGGTTTTGTTAAGTCCTCTGAGATAATTTAGGTCGTCCATCCATCTTCTTCCCCTTAATCCATTTCTGGGTCGGGGGTTGGCAGTCAGAGCTGCACCCAGTTCACAAAGCACCAGCTCCTCACTGATCCTCCTGCAGGAGTTGTCCACAGGAGCTGAGATTTTTCAGTGGGGGCTTCAGGCAAAAGGACACAATGACAACATAGGGAGCCTTGAAGTAGGTCTCTTGGTGGGCTCGAACCCACAACCTCCAGGCCCAAAGGCCAATGCTCTACCAACTGAGCCACTGTCACCCCAGTAATTTAGGCTGATTGAAGAATTTATTTACTTTAATTGAATCAGAGAGGGAGAGACCAGAGAGAGACTAAAGAGAAACCAGAGAGTGACTAGAGAGACTGGTGGGCTGGCTTGGTCAGGACTGAGGCTGTCGGAGAACTTACCTGCACATGTTGATAGTGGTAGAGGAAATTGGAGCACCTGGAGAAAACCTATGTAGAACAGGGAAAACATGCAAGACCCTGTTCAAACCCAGGAGCTTTTTGCGGAGAACCGAGATAGATAGATAGATACATATATAGATACTGTAGATACATAATGGATAGATGATAGATAGATAGATAGATAGATAGATAGATACATATATAGATACTGTAGATACATAATGGATAGATGATGGATCTTTTTTCATGAATCAATACATCACTATTTTTCTGCATTTGGCCTCTGATGCCTTTCCACCCTCTCCTTGCTGAATATTCATAAAAAGAACACTGGCTCCTCTTTGCGAACCCTTTGGCCCTTTCATCGTTCGTCTCCCAAAAACTCAAGAATCATCTTTTAATCAGAGACTTGAAATATGTTCTTAATTACCTCGGGGAAATGTACGCACTCTAATGACTGGGAGGCCTTGCCAGCGATCACAGCCGCCTTTATAATTAGGGAATTTCATCTTTAGCGTGAATAGGACTAGCATGTACGTGGCTACGCTGTTGGCTCCCTCTGTGCCGTCTTTGCGTTTGTAAAATGCCTAATAATTACCAGCACCATTAGCATTTAAATGAGAATGTACAGTAGGCAATAATAGTCACATCAAGAGGCCCGGGTGTTTGATGGTGACCTCTGGCACGCTGCGATCGCGGAGCAGATGGAGGGGAGTTGGATGGATGATGGCGGTGGGCAGTGTTTGATGGTGAAGCAGAGTGAAAGAAGAGAGAAGAGACCGAGGCAACTTTTATGCAAGTCGCTGTTAAAGAATACATTGGTTGGTTTTGGCTCAAAAATGTGATCTTGTTCACTTTGGTATTTCAGGTTTTAAAGGGCCCATATCACGGTTTTTGACTTTTCTCTGCTTTAAACATGATTACAATGCTATTTGGCCTTCATACACAAGCCCACAGTAATTTATTAATTGATTCTGTCAATCTTTTGTAAGAGAGCAATCTGTCTCCTTCCCCAGCGTGAGGCACAAAAACGCTCGGGTCCACTTCAGTGACGAAAACCTAACCTTGCCTGCAAGCTGAATTCTCGCGGTATTTGTGAGTTCACAAACACTCGAGAATACATCTTGTACCGCTCCCGCTTACACTTTTCGAGTCGAACCACTGGGTGTGCGAGCCAATCACGCGCCAGTCTGGGGGCTTAGGGCGGGATATCCGGGTTTGACGAAAGCAAGAAGTGCCGGGCCGAAGCAAAACAAACATGGCTACGCAGGAGGACGGACGCAAAGTCAGTTTTAGCAGAATCTCCAATTTCTTTTTTGAAAGATGAACAGCGAGAGGCGCTTTGTACATTTCTGGACGGCAACCTTGGTAGGCGGGCACACAGCGTCACTTCGCCCAATCAGCTTCAAGTATTCTGCTGCTTACCCCTCCTTTCCCCGAAAGGATTCTCCGGGAGAAATCCCAGATTGATATCGCGGAGAACGCGTTAGAGTTCTACACAATCATCAATCTGGCTTTTGCCAGGTTAACGAAAACCACTCTGATGACGAATATGACGCGCATGACCCCGTTTGCTTTGTATTTAAAATAGTTGTTAAATACTTTTGTCAAAACGGGGTAAACAATACACAATTAGTATGCTGTTTTTTGTCAAAAATTATAAAAATAAAAATAAATTAAAAGCCGGCGGGAGGTGATTGACGGATCAAAACAGCGAATCAGAGCGCACAGGCTCCGGCTCCCGAGTCCAGCGTCTGTGGTCTGGTCTCGCGGACACCACATAGAGCTGCTGTTTTTATGCTTTTGTCAGCGACTAAAAGTGTTAGGATCACGTCAACTTGAATGAAGTGTGTTATGGGTGTAAATATGTGACACACTATTTGGCCCTAAGAGGAAGAAAGCGGCTCGACTTTTTTCATCTGTTCATCTCATGGATCTATTATAATACCGGTTCATCTGCGACACTTCACTGAGACTGTTCTAGAACGGCACGGTGGCTGAGTGGATAGCACTCTCGCCTCTCAGGAAGAAGGTCCTGGGTTCGAATCCCAGTCGGACCAGGGCCTTTCTGAGTGGAGTTTGCATGTTCTCCCCGTGTCTGCGTAGGTTTCCTCCGGGTACTCCGGTTTCCCCTACCACTAAAAATATGTACAATAGTTCTAGCATGCGCCTCCTGTACTGGCGACCCCGCTCCCATCTCTGTGTGGAGTGACACACACTCCACACATTTTTGGGACAAATGCCCAAAAATTAACAATTGTAAACCGCTTTGAGACTCAGATCTGCAGTGAAAAGGCGGTATATAAATAAAGATTACTTACTTACTTACTAGAACTACAGGGACAATGGAACTGGACTTACTCAAAGGCTGATCTGGAAACACGTTATTCCCACGGTAAAAGACGTAACTCGGACCCCCTCGATCTGTAAGTAGTGACGCTAACTCGCTGTATACTTCTGTAAACTAAATAACTAGGGTCTGATTGTGCATCGAGGACATAGGGCTCGATGTGACGGATTGTCATTGTTGGAAAAAGTTTATTCTTATGTATGAAATTACTAAGTACAGGTGATAAACGACAAAAGCGTGATGCTACGTCAGCGTGCGGGCGGGGGGAGGCGGGCTCACAGGCAGAGGAGCAGACTCTTCTCTGGATCAGCTCGTTTGAGTCGAGGTGACGTCACCTCTATACAAGAGATGGCTCTAATCTCACAAGCTTTGATTGTTGTGTGGTGTATCCTACACATTAATATCACACATGTGCATAGGACTGAGTGTGAAACATGAAGAAAAGCGTGATATAGGACCTTTAATGTGTAGTGTTGGGCGAGTTACTTCAAAAACGTAATACTCTCTCGTCTCTCTATGGTATTTCGCTGGTCTCTCTCTGATCACTCCCTGTCTGGTCTAGATACTAGAGAGAGAGTAGAGAGTTACCAGAGAGACACCAGAGAGAGACCAGAGAAAGCAACTGGAAAGTGACCAGAGAGAGACCAGAGAGAGAGAGAGCTGTGATGTTCAAATCAGCTTGCCTCTTCTTGACTATGATGAAGTCCATTGCGGTGATAAACTACACAGGCCTCATTTCCTTCGGTCTCCTCTATTTCCATCGGAGCTCACACTCTGGAGCTCTAACTTTCAATTTGTCTCTGAAGAGCTAGGGCTTTAAAACCCACACAGTCGAGAGTCTGAGAGGAACCAGCGGGGTTTGTACCTGAGAGAGCATCGGTTAAGATTAAAAAGGCTTTATTTAAGGATTAAGGAGGCTTACAGGCAACAATCTGGATATGGCCAGGATTCATACATACACAGACACGCACGCACACATACATACAAGCAGACATACAAAGACACACACACACTGCAATTCGGAAAGGGCGAAACTAATGAATACAATGGATAAAGTTTGCGCCGTCTGTGAGAAAGCTCTGTTTTCTAATGGCCCTGCTCTCGGGATGATAGTAATACATCTACTTACATCTATTTACAACCAGAGAGAGACCAGAGAGAGACCAGAGAGAGACCAGAGAGAGACCAGAGAGAGACCAGAGAGATCAGAGAGAGAGACCAGAGAGAGATCAGAAAGAGAGCAGAGAGAGAAAGATCAGATAGAGAGACCAGGGAGAGACCAGAGAGAGACCAGAGAGAGATCAGAGAGAGACTAGAGAGAGAGAGAGATCAGAGAGAGAGACTAGAGAGAGATCAGAGGGAGAGACCAGAGAGAGACACACAGCGAGAGAAAGACCAGAAAGTGAAGGAAGAGAGATCACAGAGAGAGAGAGACCAGAGAGTTATCAGAGAGAGAGACCAGCGAGAGACGGGAGAGAAAATGAGATATTTGACACACACACACACAAACAGACACAGATCTGAAAAAGGGCAAAGCCGATGAATAAAACGAACACACCTTTCGCTATAATGTCCGAAAGCCTTGTTCTCTAATGGCCGATAATCACCTCATTTGCACCACATAACGTCCGGTCCCTGAGTCTGTAACCGTGAGTGAAATGCCTCTGTCTAAGAACCCACCGTGCAACTCTGCTCTCTCCGCTCCGTAATGGCCGCCCGCCGAGCCGTACGGGGCCACAGTTGCACCAGAGCCCATTTGGAGAGCATTAGAGGAGCGGGAAATGTCAGGGTCACGGCTCTATCCTCGAACAGGGAAGGAGAGGAGGGGGAGGAGGGGGAGGAGGGGGAGAGAGTGAGGTTAAGCGGCAGAACTGACAATGTAGAGAAACAGCAGATTGAAGAGCCTTTGACACCGCAGCCGGGCGCGGGATCAAGAGGCGCCTGGTCTAATGATGGGAGAGGGCCACGGGTTAAATGAAAGATTTTTGTGTGTGGTGGAGTTACTGACAGAGTGAGGGGGAGTTAAGAGAGAGAGACTAGAGAGAGAGGAGAGAGAGAGCAGAGGGGGACTAGAAAGCAGAGAAAGACCAGAGAGAGAGAGAGAAGAGAGAGAGCAGAGATAGACCAAAGAGTGACCTGAGAGAGAGACCAGAGATAGAAAGCAGAGATAGAGACCAGAAAGAAACCAAATAGAGAGACCACAGAGAGATTAGAGAGAGAGCAAAGATAAATCAGAGAGACTAGTAAAAGAGAGTGACTAGAGAGAGAGACCAGAGAGAGAGCAGAGAGAGCAGAGAGAGAGACCAGAGTAAGACCAGAGAAAGACCAGAGAAATAGACCAGAGAAAGACCAAAGAGAGACCATAAGACTAGAGAGAGAGATCAGACAAAGACCAAAGAGAGGGAGAGCAGAAAGACCAGAGAGAGTCCAGATAAAGACGAGAGAGAAACCAGAGAAAGATCAGAGGGAGACCAGTGAGAAACCAGGGCGGAAACAGAGAGTTCAGAGAGAGAGGTCATAGAGAGTCAAGAGAGAATGAGAGAGTAGAGTGAGTTACTAGAGAGAGACCAGAGAGAAACCAGAGAGACCAGAGAGAGAGAGAACAGGGAGAGATCAAAAAGAGACCAGAGAGAGAGAGAGATCAGAGAGCGACCAGAGAGAGAGATCAGAGAGAGAGCAGGGAGAGATCAAAAAGAGACCAGAGAGAGAGAGAGATCAGAGAGCGACCAGAGAGAGAGATCAGAGAGAGAGAACAGGAAGAGAGACCAGAGAGAGACCAGGGAGAGATCAAAAAGAGACCAGAGAGAGAGAGATCAGAGAGAGACCCGAGAGAGAGATCAGAGAGAGACCCGAGAGAGAGACCAGTGCGCGACGGGTGAGAGATCGGAGAGAGACCAGAGATAGACAGAAGAGAAACACGATTGGTAGACACACACACAGGGAGAGAGAACAGAGAGAGAGACCAGAGAGAGACCAGAGAGAAAGACGAGAGAGAACAGGGATGAAACAAAGAGAGACCAGAGTGAGACCAGGGAGAGACGGCTCTATCTGCAAACAGAGGCAGAGGGAGGTTAAGCTCCAGCCCTGACAATGTAGAGAAACAGCAGATTGAAGCCTTTGACACCGCAGCTGGGCGCAGGATCAGGACGAGTCTGGTCTAATGATGAGAGAGGGCCACGGGTTAAATGGAAGATTTTGTGTGTGGTAGAGTTGCCGACAGAGTGAGGGGGAGTTCGGTTCAGTCGTTCTGAACCGTGGGGGGCCATAGGGTAAAGTGAGAACTGAACAAATACACGGTTTCTTATTCGTTGAGGTTTTGCTCAGTTTTGGTAGATTTTGTTTCAGTTTAAAGGGCAGTGTCAATGTAAGGATATTGTTTTTTCCAGATGTTTATTGATAGAGGGACTACCAGAGAGAGAGAGAAGAGTGAGAGAGAGGAGAGCAGAGAGAGAAACCAGAGATAGACCACAAAGAGAACAGAGAGAGAACAGAGAGACAAGAGAGGGAGCAGAGAGAGAGACCAAAAATAACCAGAGAGAGACCAGAGAGAGACCAGAGGGAGATCAGGAGAGAGACCAGAGGGAGACCAGGAGAGAGACCAGAGGGAGACCACAGAGAGAGACCAGAGTGGGGCGAGAGAGAGACCAGAGAGAAACCAGAAAGAGATCAGGAGAGAGACCAGAGGGAGACCAGGAAAGAGACTAGAGGGAGAACAAAGAGAGAGACCAGATTGGGACGAGAGAGAGAGAGACCAGAGAGAAAACAGAAAGAGATCAGGAGCGAGACCAGAGGGAGACCACAGAGAGAGACCAGAGAGAGATCAGGAGGGAAACTAGAGGAAGACCACAGAGAGAGACCAGAGAGAGACAGAGCGATTGAAGAGAGACCAGAGCGAGACCAGAGTGAAAGACCATAGATTCTGTAGATCAGATAGAGAGATGACATAGAGACCAGAGAGACTATAGAAAATGACCAGAGACTAGAGAGATATGAAAGAGACCAGAGAGAAACCATAGAGAAGTCAGATAAAAGGAGTCTAGAGAGAGAAACCAGAGACAGAGTCCCCAGAGTGAAAGACCAGAGATAGATTAGGAGAGAGACCAGAGAGAGAAAGACCAAAGTGAAAGACCAGAGATACATTAGGAGAGAGACCAGAGAGAGAAAGACCAAAGTGAAAGACCAGAGACGGAGAAAACAAGAGAATACAATTTAACTTTTATCTCTGGTTGACCTCCACATTCTAACACACAAACACACACTTACAACCTTCATTATGTTATTAACAAAACTCTACATTTCCCATTGTTTGGACTTACCACATGCATTTAAACTGTCCATCCATCTACAGACCTCTCCATCCGTCCTGCACTTTTAGACCTTCCCACATTCAGCTTTGTCCGAGGCGTTCCTAATGGACATATCGGTAAAATACACGCCAACCCTCGCCGTTATTACCGCTTGTCATTTAGACGGATGGCGATGAAGCCGCGCCGCTGTTTTTGAATGACCTGTTTGTATCGCGGAGTGGAGCGAATCAATTCCAATGTGCCAGACGTGGGCGGTCATTACTAAACGTTTAATTTTCTCTTTAGAAGTTATGGGAGTCATTTTTAACTTCAATTACCGCTTCATTCGCCATACCCCGCCAACAATACAGACGTTGTAATGATGAAGGCTCATAATCAAGGTGCATTCCAAGTTCAAAAAAGACCCCAGTGGAAGGCGTGACAGGGCCCGGTCCCTCCCCTCACATTTGGCTTGGTTCTGCTCTCAATAAGAAGAGGACAGTGATGGCTGTGATTTCCCGACGGAGAGATGAGTTGGTGAAGAAGGGGATAAGAGAGGTGATGGAGAGGCCATGCATCTGGGGGAAGGTGTAAGGGAAGGAGAGTGGCGCCTACATGTGGTTTGGTTTGTTTAAAGTGTAAGGGACATAGAGGCCGTCGTCACACTGTGGACATGGAAACTTTGTATAATGGTGGATATTATTCATACTTGATGGGGTTGAGGAACTTCTCGATGGTGGCTCAGTTGGTAGAGAGATTAGAGAGAGATCAGAGAGAGTCTAGAGAGAGATCAGAGAGACTAGAGAGAGATCAGAGAGTAGAGAGAGATCAGAGAGAGTAGAGAGGGATCAGGGAGACTAGAGAGAGGTTAGAGAGACTAGAGAGAGATCTGAGAGAGAGACTAGAGAGAGATCTGAGAGACTAGAGAGAGATCTGAGCGAGAGACTAGAGAGGGATCAGAGAGACTAGAGAGAGATCAGAGAGACTAGAGAGAGATCTGAGCGAGAGACTAGAGAAGGATCAGAGAGACTAGAGAGAGATCAGAGAAACTAGAAAGAGATCAGAGAGACTAGAGAGAGATTAGAGAGACTGGAGAAAGATCAGAGAGACTAGAGAGAGATCAGACAGACAAGAGAGAGATCTGAGCGAGAGACTAGAGAAGGATCAGAGACACTGGAGAGAGATCAGAGAGACTGGAGAGAGATCAGAGAGACTGGAGAGAGATCAGAGAGACTGGAGAAAGATCAGAGAGACTAGAGAGAGATCAGAGAGACTGGAGAAAGATCAGAGAGACTAGAGAAGGATCAGAGAGACTGGAGATAGATCAGAGAGACTGGAGAGAGATCAGAGAGACTGGAGAGAGATCAGAGAGAGATCAGAGAGACTGGAGAGAGATCAGAGAGACTAGAGCGAGATCAGAGAGACTGGAGAAAGATCAGAGAGACTAGAGAGAGATCAGAGAGACTAGAGAGAGATATGAGCGAGAGACTAGAGAAGGATCAGAGAAACTGGAGAGAGATCAGGGAGACTGGAGAGAGATCAGAGAGACTGGAGAAAGATCAGAGAGACTAGAGAGAGGTTAGAGAGACTAGAGAGAGATCTGTGAGTGAGACTAGAGAGAGACCAGTGAGATTAGGGAGAGATCAGAGAGACTAGAAAGAGATCAGAGAGACTAGAGAGAGATCAGAGAGACTAGAGAGAGATCAGAGGGACTAGAGAAAGATCAGAGAGACTAGAGAGGGATCTGAGAGCTAGAGAGGGATAAGAGAGACTAGAGAGAGAGATCAGAAATAGACTAGATAGAGAACAGAGTGAGAGACCAGAGAGAGACTATAGAGAGAGAGCAGAGAGAGAGAGACAGAGACCAAATAAAAAGACCAGAGAGAAATCCAAAAGAGGCCAGAAAGAGATGGAGAGAGACGACCCCCAACTTGCATCACCTGCTCCCACTGATGTCTGCTGTCGTTGTGTCCTCGGGCAAGACACTGAACCCCACTCTGCCTGGTTAGTACTGTGATGGGAGACCTCTGGGAACACCAGGTGCCACAGTGGAGCGGCTGTAAAGTGCCAAACTGTCCTTCGGCAAGATGCTTCACACACGTTAGAATGAGGCTGGTGTGTGTGAGAATGGTTGGTGGGGGTCAGAGGAGACAATAGCACAGACTGGTTGCCTCGCTTCTGTCAGTGTGCCCCAGGGCAGCTGTGGCTAAAGCAGTAGTTTATCACCACAGAGTATGGAGTGAATGAATAATGACATGTTAAGGGTCTTTGAGTGTCCTGAAAAGCACTGTATAAAACCAATACATTAGCTTTATTTGTTTTTTTATTATCATTGTTTGTTACACACAACATTAAATGCAGTTAGTTGTTGACAACAAGTACAGTCTGTGTGTTTTATATACCACCCCCACTACCACCCTCCCTCCCACTGCCAACCTCCCCAATTCGTCTCCAGGTTGACAGAGCGTATCTCATAAAATTATGTTTAGCTAAGTATATAAGGTCAATAATTAGATAAGTCCATGAAGAGAGACAAAAAAGAAATGAATAGAAGTTAAAATATATATATATATATATATATATATATATATATATATATTTTATATATATATATATATTTGAAAGAATGAAAATAAAAATAAAATAAAAAGGGCACCCACATGTATTTGTATAAAAATATAATTAAAAAAATATTAATTAAAAAATATATATTAAAAGATGAATTAATTAAAAGTAATATGAAAAGTAATTAATAAAAAAAAAATATGAAAATTACTTAATAAAAAAATAATGTTAAAAAAATAACTAATTACAACATTATTTGATAAAAAAATAATATTAAAAGATAACAACAAAGTGACGTCCCCCAGCTTTAGTCAGACCAGGCTGGAGTCGTACATATTTCCGTTTGGACCGTGTCTGACGCGTGGAGCCTGCTGCCTCTGAGCCGCCGCAGATGGAGAGCTTTGGACGCTGAATCTGTACAATCCTCCGTCGATGATCACTTATTAAACCTCGTCCCGAGAGAAATTAAAGCTCTCATTACAAACGCCACAGAGGAGGCTGTATGTGTGAAGCAGAGAGCAGCAAAAATTAATATGGCCTTTATCAGACTGTACAAAGAAACTGCGTATGAATGTGAGACATGAGTATATTGTACCGACAGAAAGAGAATATTGTTGAGAATAAATCAAGCCACATTGTGAGTTCTTCAATGTGTTAGAAATCATGTTTTCTTTTACATACAAAGAAACACATGCATTTAAATAATGCACCTCCTGCAGTTTTGGACCTTCCTCAAGAGAGGTCAGAGAGAGATCCCAGAGAGATTCAAAAAAGAGGCCAGAAAGAAACCAGAGAGAGAGAGAGACCAGAGTGAGACTAGAAAGAGATCCGAGAGAGAGGCCAGAGAGAGATACGAAAGATGCCAGAAAGAAACCAGAAAGAGAGAGAGACCAGAGAGTGAGACTAGAAAGAGATCCGAGAGAGAGGCCAGAGAGAGATACGAAAGATGCCAGAAAGAAACCAGAGAGAGAGAGAGACCAGAGAGTGAGACTAGAAAGAGATCCGAGAGAGAGACCAGAGAGAGATACGAAAAAGAGGCCAAAAAGAAACCAGAGAGAGAGAGAGACCAGAGAGTGAGACTAGAAAGAGATCCGAGAGAGACCAGAAAGAAACCAGAAGAGACCAGAAAGAGAGAGAGACCAGAGACAGAGATCAGAAAGAGACCAGGGAGAGACTAGAAGAGACCAGAAATATACCAGAAAGAGACCAGAAGAAACCAGAGAGAGAGAGAGAGAGACCTGGGAGAGAGACCAGAGAGATGGATCAGAGAGAGATCCGAGAGAGATACGAAAGAGGCCAGAAAAAGACCAGAAGAGGCCAGAAAGAGTCCAGAAGAGCCCAGAGAGAGAGACCAGAGAGAGATATGAAAGAGGCCAGAAAGAGACCAGAGAGAGAGAGAGACCAGAGCGTGAGACCAGAAAGAGATCTGAGAGAGAGACCTGAGAGAGATTCAAAAGAGGCCAGAAAGAAACCAGAAGAGACCAGAGAGAGAGAGAGAGACCAGAGACAGAGATCAGAAAGAGACCAGGGAGAGACTAGAAGAGACCAGAAATATACCAGAAAGAGACCAGAAGAAACCAGAGAGAGAGAGAGAGAGACCTGGGAGAGAGACTAGAGAGATGGATCAGAGAGAGATCCGAGAGAGATACGAAAGAGGCCAGAAAAAGACCAGAAAGAGTCCAGAAGAGCCCAGAGAGAGAGACCAGAGAGAGATATGAAAGAGGCCAGAAAGAGACCAGAGAGAGAGAGAGACCAGAGCGTGAGACCAGAAAGAGATCCGAGAGAGAGACCTGAGAGAGATTAGAAAAGAGGCCAGAAAGAAACCAGAAGAGACCAGAGAGAGAGAGAGACCAGAGACAGAGATCAGAAAGAGACCAGGGAGAGACTAGAAGAGACCAGAAAGAGACCAGAAGAGCCCAGAGAGAGAGACCAGAGAGAGATACTGTACAAAAGAGGCCAGAAAGAGACTAGAAAGAGACCAGAAAAGAGACAAGAAAGAGACCAGAAGAGACCAGAAATAGATAGAAGAGACCAGAGAGAGAGAGAGACCTGGGAGAGCAACCTGAGAGAGAGATCAGAAAGAGATCTGAGAGACAGACCAGATGGAGGTTCGAAAGAGGCCTGAAAGAGACTAGACGAAACCAGAGAGAGAGATCAGAGAGAGATACGAAAGAGGCCAGAAAGAGTAAGTGACATACTATTTAAGTAACACTTAAATAAATCTACACCTGGTCTCCAACTTTAAAAACCCATGAGCTACTTTCCCGCGATGATAAAGGCAGAGAGCTACTCCTTTAAGCGTCCCCGGGAAAAACAAGGTGATAATTTGGTGAGAACGAGCCTGATATTGGGTACAGTCAGTATTCATCATCACATATTTGTAACTAGTGACAAAGTAAGTGCATTTACAAAAACAAATAATGATAACGAATAATGAAATCTGAAAAATTAGGTATTTTTTTCACTTCTAAAAGTCCTCTGGAGAGCTACCTGGACACACACAAACTCCAGTCGTACACTCCTCGTGCTCGGACTG